GGAATTTTATGGATATATATTATGACTATATGTTTAAATGTAATTTTATGTTGATTTTGGAACTCAACCATTTTGGACTTTTTACATTAGCATTTTAGAATCTTTTGTTTTAATAGTGTTTTTTTGTTTGTTTAGGAAAAATTACCAAAGTTACTCCCAAATTAAATTTGGTATCATTTTTTTATTAGGCCATTACCTAGTGGTGGAATTTTTCTTTTTAAAAATCTATATTGAATTTGATATTTTGGGTTGATTTTGCTATTTTACCTTTTTTTTGTAAATTTTGGCTAAAAACTCAACTTTTCGGATAATCCAGTGATCCGATCCGAAAAATCGGATCAGATATGGAATGAGTTTTACGTGATCCGAAATTTTCGGATATCCGAATTTTCGGATCGGATCGGATCGATCCGATTGAACACCCCTAGCTGGGAGTAAGTACTACTTTCTTTAGTATTCACAAGTTCTCATGTTCCTTTATACGGTCATTCCCGTTTGATACCAAACCAAAACTACCTCATCCATCCAGGTCTGCAGCCCCTTCATAATTTGGTTATCCACTCCAGTGATCATATGAGATAACCGAATATTAGACAAGATATTTTACTACGTGTACATTTTTACTCTTTTCTTTTGCGACTTAGCATCTCGTTGTTAGAGTTTATGCTAACGTTCACCTTAAAGTAAGTGGGTTCCATCTACAGGATGTGAAGTCCTATCTTAGTCTATCGCATTTCAGTATGCACAGGCATCAACAATTTGCAGCTCACCACAGAAATTCTGACAATTACTTTGATACACACTTTCAAGCAATCAGCTTCATACACGTATTTGAGCAATCAGCACAGCACAACTATTCGAACAATCAGTTCAGTTCAAGTAACTTGAGCAATCAGCTCCATACAAATATTTAAGCAATAAGACAAAAACTTTTTACCTTCCGGGTGGCAGAGATGACGTGGAGGATGCGGATGCAATACTTGGAATTAACTTTTGCCATTGTTATTATCAAAATAACAATATTTTCACCTATTTGTTTTCAAAATAGTACTTTGCAAAGGTCCGAAGAGCGATTTATAAACCATATGCTCTGATACCAAAATGTAACACCCCAACCCACGTAACCCGAATAAATAGGTCAGCGAATTGGGTTGCTACTAAATTGGTATCCACATACAATATTTTTCAATAAATTAGAAACATTTAATGTAAAACCCAAACAATTCAAAACAATTTAAATACATATCGGAGTTTATACACACAGTGCAGAAGCCTTATAACTTAATTAAATATCAACTTTACTAAATCCCTGCATCCATGCATCTCCTCTGTCGTGCTGCTCTCCGTGATGGATTCCAGAATCAATCTTTCACAAGCACCTACGTGTAACAAAGGGGAAAAAGGCGCTACATGCTCAGCAATGGAGCTGAGTGAGAAATATTTAACAGTTCGAACATACACATAGGCGAACCCACTAATTCATAATTATCACATGATATCATGCACACAACATGCTTGGCAACAATCATACGACATACAAGATGTAACATGCATAATCAACATCATAACAGTTCATAAGATACAAACAAAAAAGATATAAGTATTAGGAACTTTCCTTTTTAGTTTACTTTAATTTCCTTATCATACTTGGCTCTTAATCTATGCTAGGTTAAAGCTTAACTGAATTCGACTTGCCTATGGAGTCATGACCTTCCCCTTCAGAACGAAGGCCAAGCTCAAACCAACTCAGGAGTTCCTTGTTAGGTGGCTGAGATCTCTGTCCCCTTCGGAACGACAGTTCTTAAATCCCCGTGTACACGTTTTTACCCGAACAGCCATTGGACCCAGCAGGTACCACATGGCTAACTTACTATACTTATGGCATACCTTGCCACTAATCCATTCAGGTCATTTCCTAGAGTTCTTCTAGGTAATATATCCAACAATCATTAATCAATACAGAATACCACATTCATAAATCCACAATGCATTCAACAAGATATCCAACATAACCAGGTTTACCGTCATGCAACACACAGAGTCTTAGAATCAATACTTGACGAAAACACAGATCGACGGACCTGGCATCAGGTACCAGACGGTACCTGTCACGGTACGGGGTACCGTTTTTACGGTACCTGGGTACCAGTCCGACGGTACTGGGGTACCGTCCAAACCAACCGGACTCATCCGGTAGGCCTATCACGGTAGCCACTACCAACCCAGCGGTAGGGCCTACTGTCCGTCCAGTACCTAAGTACCAAACGGTCACAGCTACCGACAGAGAATGCATAAACAAACAGAGTGTGGCAGTAGCACGGTACCGAATTTCAAACAAATCAACCACGATAACAAACATGAACAGAATTTCAAACCTAGATGCATATTCAAGTGTTAGATATCCGCGTACTCACCTCGTTGGTTCGATTCAATTGAAGAAAACGTCACTCGAAGCCGATCACCCGAATTGGTCGTCGAAACTGCCCCTGCTGGTCAGATCGGCTTGCTGCCAAAACTCAATTGGTCAAGGTCTAGACTTGCCGGTCACTGGAGGTCACTCGCCGGAGCACCGCCGCTGTTTAACCACCGGGATCCGCTGCTGCTCCCAGACGCCGTTGGAGGTCGCCGGCGTCACTAGAAGGTTTCGCCACCAAAGATTACTGGACGAAGTAGGGTTACGATGCTCGATCCCACCGTTGCTTTCCTTCGTGCAAATCGTCGCCGGAGAAGAAGCAGTGAGTCGAGTCGCCGGCAGGGGTCACTGCTGGTTTGGCACATCGTCGCCGCCGTCTCTGGGTCGATGAGGACCATCGTGCCGATTGTCAGAATTTCCTCGTGTTACTGCGCGTTTTGGTCGGGGAAGGAAGATCGAAGAAGAGGGGGAGGCCGCGATCCCGAGAAGAAGACGCGTAAATAGAATATATGTGCCCAGGGTTTGTACTAGGTAATTTAAAATGATGTGTCCGAGTAAAAACACTTGGGTCAACTTGCTCCAAAATGAGATGTGTTTGCATCATTGGGTTCGATTTATCAATCCTTACCCAACGATTAACTTTTATAAATAATCAATAAGCATTTACCAGTTCCACCTTGTTCGTCTTAATTCTTTCGATTAATTAATGCCGATCAGTCTTTAATTTTAAATCTTTACAATTATGATCAGATTAGTTTCGTTATATTAAGATCATTAGAATCTCTAAAATACCTCTCAATTATTTAAAAGAATAGATTGTCCTAAATAAATACTTTTTATTTGTTTAATTACCTAATAACTTCTAAACCGGTTTCAGGGGCGTTACACCGACATTGATCAAAATGTAAGCAAGTGTTGGCATTTTCCGTTTAACGTCACAGTTTAAGTGACCATGCTATTTATACTATTGCTTTTTTTATTTGTTTTGATTGTTATCTAGATCACCGAAGAGCAACTAGCTGCACTATTTAGTGCTTATGGACATGTAAGTTAATTCACTGATATAATGCCAACCTTAATTATACGGAGTATATCATATACACATGGTGGTTGATTTATGCCCCCTCTCTCCGTCCTAAAACTTTCTTCCTGTTGCGCAAAACGAAGAAAAATCCCAAGTTTTTTCAATTTATTTTATTTAAATATTGGTATAGAAATAAAAAATAAAACATACATATTTAAAAACTAAATCAAAAGTTCAACAAAACAAGTGGTGACAAAAATATTTTATTTTATCATATAGGCCATGAAAAAACACAAATAAATATAAATTCCCGTGAAGTTGGAATAGTACTCTGGGAAGAGAGTTTTAGGACGGAGGGAGTATCATTTTTAAGAATTGAGCTTGAAATGTCAAATATGTCCTTCAAACGAGTTTATATTTGATTCATGTCATCTATTCTCATAAGTCAAAACCTATCTCTAGAATATTTTAGACAATTCATTATAACTTCTTTATTGAATATGGAAAGTGAACAACCAATTTCGTACAAACTAATACTTCCTCAGTGTCGAATTAATGGTCTCACTTTTTATTTTAGTCTGTCCCAAAGTATTTGTCTCACTTTCTTACTTTCTTAATATAGTAAAAAATGTGTGGTTCACAATCTTCCGCTTTCCTCTAAACAAATTTCAACTACTTATTTTTACTTTTCAACACTTTTCTTAATTTATGTGATGTCAAACTAAGACGATTAATTCGGGACTAAGGGAGTACAAGAAAGTGGACAACTAAATTCGGACGTAGGGAGTATTTATTAAGTTAAATTGTACGGAGTATAACTTATGAAATTTTGAGCTATCACTTTTTAAATTTATACCTTGCTATTAGTTTTGAAGATTGCTGTGAGGATGCACCACCATGGTTACTGTGTGTGTGTGTGCATGTGTGAAAGAGTCTATTGCATTTCTATAGAGAAAACTGGAGAATATACATGTAGATCACTTAGCCAATTATATCTAATATCCCTGAAATCCAACTGAGTTTAAATTAAAGCATCAAAGATTAGACCCTTATGGATATCAATACATTTCTTGGATAGGAACCTTTTTTTTAATGCTCCCAATAAACAAGTAAAATGTAGTTTAAACCAAACCAGACATGCCGATTATTTCTCTCTAAAGTAGGACCTTGGGAGGAGACACTACCATGATTTCAGTGTGTGTGTGTGTGCCTTAAGGTCCTATTTATATTTTCAAATAAAAAACTTGAGAATCTACATGCGGGTGGCTTAGCGAATGATATCTAATTTCCCCGAAATCCATCTGAGGTTTATATTAAAGTGTCAAGGGATTTGAATATATTTCTGTTCAAAGTATTATTATTATTATTATTGATTTTTCATAGGAACCTTTTTTTAACATATATACGTACTTCGGGCAATTGCTTTTGATACGGTTTTTAATGGAAACAAGTTAGATGTAGTGTAAACCAAACTATGCTTTCCAATTTCTCGGTCTGAAGTAGGGTCCTGGGAGGGTGATCTTACATCTACTATGAGTAGAGATACTGTTTCCGTGAAGACCCCATGCTAAGGAAACTTTTGGAGGAGGGTGACCTTACCTTAACCACTAAGAGTAAAAACATTCTTTCCATGAAAATCCCAGGATATGGAAAAATATGGGATGTTTTGGAAGATTCCAAAAGTATGAAAATTTTGACGAATTTTAATTGTTTTTCGAAGCAGAAAATGTATTTTACTTTGAAAATTTATCTCTCAAATGTGTCAAACCGTGTCCAAAAAGTAAGAGAAAGAGAATGGCAAATTTGGAAAAGTGAGAAGTTATTGCTGCTTAACTTGGCTATGGCTTCTTTTCAGGTTAATGACTGTCGCATTTGTGGTGATCCTCACTCCCGTCTCCGCTTTGCTTTTGTGGAGTTCAGTGACGAATGTTAGTCAGCTCTAATTTCTCTAGTGTCCATTTTTTAGAACTTCCCTGCCAAACTTTGGTTAAACTCAGTTCCCTTGTTTTCACATCTTGTAATCTTACATGCATCTGAAATAAATTTGAACAGATTCTGCAAGAGGATCACTTAACATCTCTGGAACAATTTTAGTTTTTTCACCACTGAAGGTCTTGCCTTCAAAAACTGCTATCCTTCCTGTGAACCCCACATTTCTTCCTAGGGTATGATTGTATTTTGTGGTTGTAAAGAGGATAGTACTCCTCTTTTTTTCACCTTTTGAAATAATTTATTTTCACCTTTTTTTCCATAGTGTAATTGATGTTTACTTGTTCATCCAATTTTTTTTACTTTTTGTATTTGCATGTTCCTCGATCTATATAGTCCGAGGATGAGCGTGAGATGTGTGCCAGGACAGTTTACTGTACAAACATAGACAAAAAGGTATTGACTTCTATCACTCTGGTAGATCGACCCTTCTGTGTTTTCCTCAGCTTAATTATCATTCTCTTAGCACAAATGATGACTTGTTTTTTATCAAGCAAACAACTCACATGGACTTGTGTTATATATGATGAGCAGGTCACTCAAGCTGACGTCAAGGATTTCTTCGAAACAAGATGTGGCACGGTGAGTGGTTTTTTGATGCCTCCAAAATGATCTGTGTATGATCATCTTTTACTAACACACCTTGTTTCTTCATCCATCTTCATTGACATCAATTTATTGACTTCAGGTTTCTCGTCTAAGGCTTTTGGGGGATCAAGTCCACTCAACCCGAATTGCTTTTGTTTAGTTTGTGATGGTAAGTGTGTTCTTAGGTTAGGTTTCCGTACAAATATGTTTCTTTTTTTGGGATAAATAAGTGCTATAAGGGTGTATTTTTCGTGGGAAATTCTTACGTGGTCCTAAACTTCTTGCTTTTATAGACCTTTAGTGCATTGATATCATTAAAGATTGGGCCTTTTGTAATAAAAAAATATCCACCTGCCAGCCCATGAAATGCATGAGAAAATCTATATTTCATAATTCACATGTAGACCTTAGGACCACGGAAAAACAACTCATATTCCGTTCTTAGGTTCTAAGGTTAGGTGTCCCTACAAATATGTGTCTCTACAATTTATTAGTGCATAATTCTATTTTATTATGTTAAACTGATAAAAAAATTAAAGAATTAAGCAGAAATTATGTGGATGTATTTACTTACTACTTATTTTGCGCGGATCATATTTCAGCATATCTGCTGATATTGTCTCATGATACTGATCTCCAGGCAGATAGTGCAATTCTGGCTTTGGACTGCTGTGGTGAAATTCTGGGATCTCAACGCATTAGGTACGGGTTCGTTTTTTGTCATCTTTTGCTCTAAAAAATCCCATTTCTATTCGTAACATTTACGTTGTATTTCATCTTGAGAAGAAACCTTGCGTACAAGAGCAATGCATAATGCATCCCTTTTTTCCCTTCATAGTGCCACTTATTCTGCAACAGCTTTTTCATGTTCCTCCCAATACCATCCTTTTTGGCCTATTCATAATAGCCGTTAAATCCATCTACCTTGATATGGAGCATCATCATATTGAATCTCTTTTGTTAGGACAGTTTTCGATAAGCAACATGCCCTAATTTACAATTTTTCTACCTTTTCTAAACTAAAGTGAGTAAAATTTTCTGCATTCTGTAGGGTGAGTCCATCAAAGACACCAGTGAGGCCACGGGCTCTGCGAGCTCCTATGGCTTAGCGATGTGCAGTGCTCATGGAGGACAATGAAAACAAACTATTAGTATTATACTATATGTTAACCACGCATATTCTTTTCTTACCAAAAGCATCATGTTTTGCAATTGAACCCTGATGATTTGGCATTTCTGAAGCTTCTTCAGTCATAAGCTTTGAACTTTATACTGATGTGTTGCAGGGAAACATAAACGAAAGAAACGTGAAAATGGACACGATGAAACGTCATTTTAGAAGTTTGTGAATGAAATGTTTCCCAGATATACTACTTCGTACGTCCTAGATACGAATATAACGACAATGAAATGTTCACTTGATGATAAATAGGTAAAAACACGCGTAAAGCATCTCTAACAGAGATCATGTGAAGAGACTTAGAATAAGTTTGGGGTTGGAGAGGGGTCTCAGAAAGGGTTTTCATAAGTGCAAGTGAATGTGGTAATGATAAGTAATCTTGATACATAGACTAGAGTGAACTTCGTGTATTGAAAAGTGACCTGCAACTCTGATACGAAGTCAAGTCTTAATGTCGCCAAAGTGTTTATGTGTTTGCTCTAAATGCACATGAAGAACTTAATCTAAATTTGGCGACCATTGTCCTCTTAGGGCTTGTTTTCTTCGATCCCCTAATATGATTAGTTTTAATTTGATTGAAATAAATTCTAATATGATCTGATTATAGTTAAATAATAAGTGATAAGAATAAATTGAAGAGAATCCGCTTTTAGTGTAAGGCTTATTGCAACCACATTGTTCTGCGCAACAGAGTATAATTTTTGCTATGCATGATGCTGGATTGTTATTTGGGATTGGCATTGTATCAGTTTTTATATTATATGGAGTACAAATATAGAGAGTAAATTTCATAATTGGTCCTTTATAATAAGGCGGTTTTCATATTTAGTCATCCATTCACTACAAGAGAAATGCTCTACAGTGTGAGTACAATCCATAGTTAAAACACCAAAAATCGTCATCAAAACATTTTAATGAGAGGAAATTTACTCTCATCGACCGTCATTATAGCTTCCGTAGCTAATTACAAATAATGACAGGCTCCATGTTCTCTCATTAAAAAGTATTTAATGAGAGTATATTTACCGTTATCAAAATGACCTTATTATGACAAAAAATCATGTCATAGTAGTTACAATTAATTATATAAAAAGTTCTTCTCAATTATTTTTTCGAGATTAAATATACAGCCATTAATATATATATACACACACACACACACACACACACACACACACACACACACACACACACATATATATATATAAACTTTTTATGAGAGAAACTTTTATTAGAATGAAAAAAATATACATGAGGGGAGGACCAAACCAAAGCCCCTCTCAAACAACAAAGATCATGGGTACTAAGTACTAAAGATACAACAAGGTACTCCCTCCGTCCCTAAATAAAGTTCCATTTTTGACTTTTTAAGAATTTAAGGGAGGAATATTTTGGTGTTGACTTTCCAAAAATACCCTTGATGTGATGTGTTAAAGTAAGATGTGATAGGTAGATTATTAGTAAAAAGGTATGATGTGATAGGTAGGGTATGAAAAAGTAAGGGGTAAAAGGGATTTTTTAAGGGAAAAGAGAAGTTTATTTAGGGACAAAGAAAAAACGAAAAAGGAACTTTATTTAGGGACGGAGGGAGTATTACACTTGATCCAAATAAAACATAAGCCTTGAACATGAATAGATTTTCCAACTAAAGGGCTTAGCGTAACTGTGACATTATCAAAAACTTCCAGGATTACTTGCAGATTGATGAACTCTCATTTTGGCTCTCAAAATCCCTGAAGTGACAAATTGCATTTATCAGATAGTGTCTATAAATCAATTGAAATTTAAAGCAAAATGCAGTTGTTATAACCTTCTCCTACCTAATCTCAAGATAGGCAAAACACATATGTGAAGTCCTTGACATAAGCCTTGAACATAAACAGATTTCAGACTAAATGGCATAGCATAAATGTGACAAATCATTAACACCGAGTGCATTAAAAACTTCCAGGATTACTTCAATTGCAGACTGATGAACTCTCGTTTTAGCTCCCAAAATCCCTGAAGTGTCAGAAATTTCACTTATCAGCCAGTGTACTATGTAAATTAATTCAAATTTAAAGCAAAGTGCATTTTTATAGCCTTCTCTTACCTCATCCAAAGATAATCCAAAGATATATGTGAAGTCTTTGTCAATTAGAGCTGTAGTAATCTGTTCTAACCTTCATAAATATACTCCAAAATCAGGCAAAAAATATATTAAAAAGTCTTGGAAAATACCAGCTGTAGTAACATGGATTAGGGCCATCCCAAACAGCCATTCCCAAAAAGTGAGTAGCTAATAAGCAACCAGTAGAAACAACATCCTCAAAGGTGGTCGATCCTACAACTAACTGTCTAATTAAGTGTCGTCTGTTTAACAATATCAGCATATAGTCAATTTAAGAAGTACATAAATGCACACCTTGCTTTTTTGGTATGCTTTTCTAGAGGCAGGTGTGTGATGAGAACTAATTTAATCGCCAAGTTGTGCAGCAAGAACAGGAGCAAGCTCAACAGATGACCCTTTTGTGCGCTTAGTAGTTCTTCTACCTTTCTGCCAGAAACCAAAAGACCATGAAGTTTTACAGCATTCGTTTAAATCATACATATTGATAAAGAGATTATTATGTGGGAGATTCACAACTAAAAAAATGAAAGGTACATAGTAATCCCAAACCTTTTCATAGTAGCTACCATCACCCTATCACAAAAGAAAAAATCATAAGAGAAAATTTAGTCACAACGTCCTCATCCAACCTAATAAAAAACCATTTTCTAAAAAAAAGAGAAGAGAAACCACCTAAATAAATTAAAAAGACACAAGGCTATAAGGGAGAGATTTGCAATTCTTTACCAACAATAAAGATCAAAGAATACATGATCAATTTCATTTAATAAGGGACATATTCATCCCTAGTTAGATGTAAACTGGAAGATACATATATCATTCAATTAAATAAAATCTGTAGACAAATTCATACTTAATTGATGATATTACTCTATAATATGTAATTCAATTGACCTAATCTAACGAATTGGCTCTATAATAACCCAATTGATCGAACCCATCATTCTAACCATTAAAATGAAAAATGAAATTGACAACTGATAAGATGTAGGTTAAATTCCCGTACCAGTGAACGATGTTTGGAAAACAAAGTCGCAGGCTTACAACGGATTCTAAGAGATAACCCTTCGTGAATCGTGAGGATGCCAAGGCAGAGATGAGGAAACGAATCCTGCGACCATAAGGCGGGGAATAAAGACACGTATCGTCGCTGGTCGTGAGTGATGAGTGTGGTCTTCGCAGGTTAGATTCCAGACGCAGAAAACCCTAGATGGGGAAGAAGGACGGAGCCACGGGTTAAAATGTAGAAGCCCTGAACCGTATATGACTACCTCTCCTATAGTCCTATTATTTACTCCGTATTTTATACGGAGTATTAATATACATTAGTTTGATTTAAGTGGAAATATACTCCGTATTAAACTAATAGTGAGAGTACTAATACTTTACATACTTATGGTGAGAGTTTTTTTTTCTTAAAAAAGAAAAAGAAAAAAATTTTGTCACTAAAAGTAAGGACATTTAACTACGGAAATTTTACTGTCATAAAATGTATAAATAGCAAATTTTACTGTCATAAAATGTATAAATAGCACATTTAATTGATTCTTAGTTAAAAGTAGTTTTTCTTGTAGTGATTATCAAATATTATTTTCGTAGTTCTTCTTTTATGCGTGCTTTTCCACAAATGGTCCTTTTTGGATCTTCTGCCATATTGGTGTTAATTTAAAGTTTAAAAGTATAATTTGACGTCAACCCAATGTCCAGTAACGTATTGTGATATTTATTAGACGGATAACATAAGAATATTCACTATGATTGTGGGCTAGGATTCCGACGAAAGACCACATTTGTAGACCATAGTGTTAGTAGAAATCGATGTAATTCACAAATGACGCATCAGGAATGATCTTTGGAATTGTGTATGACAAAAAAGATATATTATCATTGTGAAATTATACTTTTAGCCCTTAAATTAACACCAACAGAATAGAAGATTAAAAAAGGACTATTTGTGAAAAGATACCTATAGAAAAAGGATAACCGAGGTAATATTTGATAATAGATGACTAAATAAGAAAACCTCAAGTTACAAAGGATCAATTATAGAATTTACTCCAATATAGATGAATGGTATTTATTGTACTAATGTCATGTGCACATTGAGAACTTATAAAATTTTCATTTAATAATAGCTCAATGTTCACTTCCTTGCAAAAGAACTTTTTATTTTATGGCTAATAACACTCTCAATACACGGAAAAAAAGAAAAAAAATACATTTGCAGAAAACCATGTTACTTAGATAAACTCAAAATATACATATTATAAAATTAGTTATGCACGTTTATTGATATGAACATTATGTGGAGATACACAACTATATGATTGACGCCACTCATGCCATAATTATTAGAGGAGAAAATAGTAGTCCTTGTGTCTTAAAACATTTTTCTCGTTTCTATTAAGAAAGTTTAATCGATTATATTTTTAATTTAATTTATTTGATTATATGTGTAAAATTAAAAAATAAAATTTATATATTTCAAAACCACATCAAAAGGTCTACAAAATAAGAAGTGACAAGACTATATTATTTTATAAAGTAACTAACGAAAATAAGTAAAGAAAATGATTAAATTTGACTGTGTGAATAGTAACTGGAAAGAACGTTTTGGAAAGAAAGGAGTAGTTTTTACTCCCTCCGTCCCAAAATGTAAGCAACATTTCGAACGACGTATAACATATCATCTTTTTTAAAATCATTTTATTTACAAATTGATAGGGAAATAAAAAAATAAAAATTACACCATTCAAAACTAGATCAAAAATTGTACAAAACAAGATGTGACAAGATCATTTTATTTTATCAAATAGTCAACCAAAACGAAGAAACAAAAAAATTATCGAGAGATCAAAATAGTAATTGTTACTTACATTTTGGGACGGAGGGAGTAATTTTTAAATTTCCAAGCACCTTTTATATTTTAGTATTTGTAATTTTATCTTTTAAGCATGTTAAATTTCCCCTATTAACAATGAAGTATTTCCTACTCCCTCTCTTCAGATTTAATTTTTCATTTTGACTTTTCTTAAATTTTAAGATGGGGGACTATGTTAAGGATTTGTCCAAAACACCTTTACTAAAAAAGTGACAGTGGATGGGTGTTGAAAGTTTTAAATGAAGGAGACAATATTGTACAAATACACATATATATGAGAAATGAGAAAATTAAATTAAGATAAAAAAGAAAAACAAGAAGATTAAGGGGGTGTATTGAATCAAGAGTCTGTAAAAAAATTTAGATTTTAAATGTTAATAGGTATTTAATTGAGATTTTAAAAAGTCATTCAAAATCTGAGGATATTGAATTTAGATTTTAAAATGTCTCTTAAAATCTTATGGTATTAAATAATTTATAGAGTTTGAAAGATTTTTATTATTTGTGGATTTTCATGGATTTTGAAGTTGTTTTTATAAAGAAAATTCATTTCACAAATCTGCCACAATGTGCAAAGATTTTGACGGATTTTGAATTGAAGCTGAAGCAAAAAAAAGAAAATGAATCGGGAGATTTGAAAGTCTGAACTCGGGGAGACACGCCGGCAGGGATGGAGACGCCGGTCAAAATGTTGCATACAATTCTCTCGGTTGCGTGGTTGGCCATTGCAATTTGTGTGTTCATAGCTGTACCCAAACATAAACGCGCCGGCAGGGACGGAGACGACGGCGGGCATGGTGACGGGGAAGAACAAGGGGGAGGAGGAGAAAGAACAAGTGGCATAGATCTATCGGGAGGAAGGAGGAGGGGAGGAAGAGGAGGAAGAAAAAGAAAGAAAAAAAAGGAGAAAGAAGAAGAGGAATAGATTGGCAGGGGAGAAGGTGGAGAAGAAGAAGAAGAGGAGGAAGAAAAAAAAGAAAGAAAGAAGAAAAAAAGAGAAAAAAGAGAAAAAAAGAGAAAGAAGAAGAAAAGATAAAAAAAAGGAACCAGAGTCAGAACAATGAAGGAACAAAAACAATCCTAAACAATTCTATAAAATCCTTTTCAAAAATATATTAAAATCCATCTAACTCTATATAGACTTAAAATAATCCATTGATTTTACGTAATCCATATATTTTAAATAATCTATCAAAATCTTTTAAAATCAAAATTGAATACACCCCCCTAAATTCAGGCGGAGGGAATATTTTTTAGCGTTATTCCATATTTTTATACATTAACAAATTTTTAAGGCAAAACTATGAATAATGTAAATTAAAAGAAAAAGCGGGTGAAAACATTGCAGATATTCTGACATGGAGCAAAAAAAACAAGAGTGATGACATGGCATTGGAGAAGGATGGGGAGAGGCATGGGGAGGATCCTCCCATTGAAAATGATGTTAAAGAAATCTCCCTAGATAAAAGCAAAGTTTAACGGAAATACTAAAATAGAAGTTACTTAGCTTAATCCACTAAATAAGTGTAATGGTAGTGTGGTGCTAGAGTAATGATATGTGCTAGAAATGACAATGTAATATGATAGATGATGAATCAATCGCCAGTAGATTTCGGGCAGCATCGGGAACGGTGACTGCTCTCTGGTGACTGACAATGTGACAATGATAGTGTGACAATGTAGTGTGACAATGTAATGAATGTGTCAACATAACAATGAAATTGTAAACTCTTATTTCAATTTTAAAAGAATAATTACTCATATTTTGATATTTTTCATATTTTTTATTCTTATTAATGGAGTTTTCCATGCTCTTATACTTTGTCCTCCATCTCGCAAGAATCTCATGCTTACTTGTCGTTTTTTTCATGGTTATCATAATTTAAATCGAGGTTAACCATTGATTTATTTATATAAAAAAGGTAAAACACCAACCTCGGGCACCCTTACCCCCGTGCCCTCATGGATGATGGAGTAGTTAAATCGTGAGAAGTGACTTAAACAACCAAGGTCCCCGAGCTTGATTGCTAATCTCGCCTTTGACTGAGTCAATTTCATATTGATGGGAATCGAGCCCCCTAGTCGGTAGACCGCCAGTTGTCATGTATTACACCACTCTTGGGTCTTTGTCGCCGATGTACGCCTCAAGGTCACGACTTGTTTATAAAGAATGAGTCTTATCCTAGAGGATCCAACCAGACGGTCACTAAGATAAAGTAATTAAATTGAACTTTGATCGCAGATTGGTGGCAAAGAGTAGAATTAGTACCTGGTACTTGCAGAGGTCATATGCTTAACATAGTTGCCTCCTGATGCAGTTGCTAGAAATTAAATTTGGGTATACTCCCTTGATACTTATTATCTTTTCCAATTGTGTAATGCCCACCGATGTTACCATTTGTTTATAGTTCTGGGAGAAGGGGAAGCATTAGTTTGGTTGGCCAAGGATGGGAATGGAAGTAAGGAAATGGAGAAAAAGAGCAATGATAGAAATTTACCGAATTATATTTGTGCTTGTAGTCTTGTACACCAATTTGTCTTGCACCACATATTTTTTTTCCCATTTTTTAATTTATACCAAGACATGTGTGGTAAGGAGATGATTGGGAGATAATTTGGAGCATTTCCCAGGAATTGAAAAAATATAATTTACCTAAATAGTAATAAAACATAATAACTTGTCTAATGTAGTACCATATGTTTTTATTATTTTCCACTGTAATACTATCGGTCATTGTCCACTGGTTATTGTTTAAGTAATTGTCCACCGATACTAGACATTATTCAGACTAAATGTCCACCATCATCGGACATTGTTTTCGTGGCTAGAAATTATTCAAGTACTATTTGAAAAATAAAAAAATTTAAATATTACATTAAAAATGGCATATATTTTAGTACGGAGTATTATTTATTGGAAATTTGACTTAAAAAAATATCATGAATTGAGAAGGTACGGTAAACAAGAATCTACATTGACAGCCCATGTTTCCTGATACGGAGTAACACAGTGTGGGGGACTACACGAATCGATACACCAACACACACACACACAAAGATCACGAAGCTGCAACTTTCTGGAACCGAACCAGCCTGTTCACAGCCAGCCTTGAGCTAAACACGGAGTTCTTGTACTCGCACCACGTAAACTCTCTGTACAAACTATCTTGGTCTCCCTCCACCAATAATGACGGCAGCGGCGCTATCTTCTCCCTCAGCGGCGGCCCTCCGAAGTAGATCATCGACAGCCTCGACTTCGCCGCGTTGGACACCACCACCCTGTGCCTCACGCTCTTGAACCTCCCGTTGGTCATCACCTGCAACGAATCCCCCACGTTCACGAAGAACGACTTCTGGTCCGGCGGCACCGACCTCCAGCTCCCGTCCTTGAGCGCTATTTGAAGCCCCGACGTGTCGTTGGATCTCAGAACCGATATGATCTGCGGGTCGGTGTGCTCCCCGAACCCGATCGGGTTCTGCCCCGCCTCCGGGCACGGCGGGTAGTGGTTCACCCTGAAAACAGAGTCGCTCTGCTCGTCCATCAACATCTTGCTCAACGCTCTCCTGTCCTCAATCATCAGCCCCTCCGCCAACATTTCCAGAATCTCGCAAGCCATTCTCTTCACCGCTTCCACATACTCATTCACAGCACTTCTGTATATGTGCATAGTAGAACCAAAAGTAACTAGCGAGAACAAAGGGAGTACTTTATATGTAGAGAGGAATTTAATTAAATACCACTAAAACATAATGACTTTCCGTAAATAGAACCATATGTGTTTTTTTCCCCAATATAGCACTTTTAGTCATTATGCATTAGTCATTATTCAAGTAAATTTTTGTACTATTTAGTAATCACTGGACATTATTAAAAACTATTTAGAAAATAAAACAATTTAAGTACTATTTAGGAAAATGATTTAAGTTTTAGTACTATTTAATGCAAATATATCTTATTATATATATGTTTACCGGAAATTATCGGGTGACATGCCGGAAACGGAAGAGAGCTTGTGGAAATTGAGTTCCGGGTGATGGGGAGAGAGGAGGAGGTATTCGACCCAGCCGGTGTCGCCGCAGGAACCGACATTCTTGTTGCCGTAGCCCAATGGGTTGGGCGGGACGCCGGCTTTGAGCTTCTCAGAGAGGGGAGACGAGAAGAATCGGAGGGCTTCGGATTCGAGGTTGGCTGAGAGTTGGGAAGGGACGCCGTGGTTGATGACCTTGAAGAAGCCGTACTCCTCGCAGGCCTTGACGAGGAGGTGTTTGGAGTCCGGCTTGGAGAAGTCTATGATTGGGACGGGTGCCGGGAAAAGCATGGGTGCTTTGCAGCAGGTCTTGACGGCGGCGAACTTGGGTTCGGCCGGTGGCTTGGACAAGACTACCATGGCTATCTGAGGCCGGCCGGATATATTTATTTAATTTATGGTTAACGGGGGATGAAGAAGCTAGCTGATATTGGGTTGTTAGACTTGTGGGTAGTTATGGATGAAAATCGGAAGAAAGGGGCAGGGGGGAACGAGGAAATGAGTTTCTTGTAAAGAGCACATGGTTGGTATTTATAGGGAGATTCGAGAGTAGACGGAAAGAGAGTTAGGGGTGGGCGCCACCCGGGATGAGAGTGGGGTATTGACGCCGTCCGCGGCGGTCCTATTTCCGGTCTTTACCCCGCGTGGATTAAAGGTTTAAGAGTCAAATCACACTCCTAATCTGGGCATTCTAGGGTGGATTCATTCGGTTCTCCCTTTTTCCACAAATCGCACCGGACCTCGGTTAGAAAGAGTAATCGGGTCAACAGTTTATATTATAAGGTCAAATCCGGTCAACCATCCCGCTTTAGAACTCTTAAAAAATATTCTCTCCCTTCAATAATAAAATTTTATTTAATTTGTTTGCTTATTTTTATGTTTTATTTGATAAACTAATATAGTCATATCAGCTCTAATTTTTTAGATATTTTTACATAGTATTTAAATATGTACATTTTATTGTTTAAATTCATTCTATTTTTTATATGTAATAATTTAAAAATAACTTTAGCCAAACGTCATAACGCGTAACACGAACTTTATTTATGAACGACGAGGGTAGGTGAATGATGAAAGAAACTGGAAAAAAAACTTAAAAATTTGAATAAACTGAAAAAACCTAAAAGAAACTAGAAAAACCTAAAAGGTACATCAAAATTTATTTAAGTATACTTTACAAATAATTTTTAGGAAGAACTCCCACTGGATCACCGAAGGTTTATTGATCACGCTGATATATTACAGTGTTATCACTTTTTCATCATACTTCCAACGCGTATTCTAACACTACATTGCCATTATATTCCTATTTTGGTATTTTTAAACTTTTTTACTTCTAGGAAGATTTCTTTAATTTTTATTATACTCAGTAATTATTATTATTATTATTATTATTATTATTATTATTATTATTATTATTATTCATTGTTATTATTATTATTCATTTTTTGCTTATTTTTACTATTTATTTCATAAAATAATATAATCTTGTCGCCTCTAGTTTTGTAGAGCTTTTCATATACTTTTTTACTATATAAATTTAATTTTCAAATTTAACTTCTGCAATCAAATAAATTAAATTAAAAATAAAATCGATCAAGCCTTGTAACACATAATGCATAGATTTTTGGTAGACGGAGGGAGTAATTAGGTAAAGAGAGAGTACTATACTTATTATTTTTTAATTTAAAATATTAATTTTTTTCTAGGTCAATCTAGATTAACAAAATATCTCTTATTTTTAGAATGGAGTTTAGTTTCATGTAAATTAATAAAAAGAATTCCCAATAAAACTATACTCCGTATTATTTATATTAAAAATGAAAAGAAAAATATTAATGAGCATAAATCACAAAAATAGTGATATGAGAAAAATTGAAAAATAAACTAGACTTCTGAATGTATTAATAATAATAATAACAACAACAATAATAGTAATAACAATAATCCATCAAAAACGGGAGATTTTAGAGTCATTATTTGAGGAGTAGAAAGAGATGGAAGAAAATGGAAACAGTGGGAGAAACTGGAAGAATAGAAAAAGTAGAGGGAATTTGAAATAATTGAAAAAAACTAGAAGAAAATTGAAGTTAAGACTTTAAGTTCTATAGAACAAACTCTTAATGTATTTTTATATATTTATACTTCTGATTAGCTTATTGAACTAAAAATAGGGAAAAAACAAATAAAAAAAATGGCAACATATTAAATTATAAATGAGTATCACTCCCTTCATTATAAATTAATCAATGAAAATATATTATTTGTTCCAACAATGGGTCAAGTTTGGACCAAATCATTGTGTTCCATATACGTACCTATTGAAAACATTTAGTATCCACTCGTACTTGTTTCCCCAATGATTCTTGATGTCATGTACTAGACTTGGAGTTTGGACCATTGGGTCTTGGTATTAAGGCTCGATTCCGTTTAACTTATTTTTTCTAGCTGATCTATTTTTTGTAGTTTTGATTCGATTTGATTTGATCGGATCTGCTCTGATTGGATTTGTTCCGATTTGATTGGATCTGATCTGATTAATTATGATTTGATTTAAAATTTAAATCAATAATTTGATTTGACTTTATAACACCGTTTGAAAATTGTAATGATAATTCATATTATAATATAGTAATCAATATTTTTATTTTATGTTTATTTTTTAATGAAATAAAATTAGTTAATTCATATATTAGAATCACCATTCATATTATAATGTAATAATATTTTTTATTTTATGATTATTTTTTTATGAAATAAGAATATTGATTTAATATATTAATAATTGGTTCATATATACATTAGAATAAATATTTAATTCATATATACATTAAAAATTAATTAAATTTAGTTATTTAGATAATCAATTTAGAAAAGAGAGTATTTTTATTAAAATATATCATCCTTATAAAATATCAGATGTGCTTTGTACCACGAAACTTTTGTTATGCTTCATATAACACTATAGATATAATAGTTATTTCTGTTACACTAAAATATACTCCGTATATGAATATTAAATGTTAATTTTATTTAAGTCATGATCAAAGTTGATCAACTCGATGTAGTAAAAGATCAAAACTTTATAAACTCAAATTACAGATAGTAATAAAAATGTATTTTAAAAGTAGAATTAGATTGACATTATCAATGTATTTTAAAAATATTTTTTTCGACGTCTAAAAATTAAGGACTACTTTCTCAGTTTTCTATTTAACTTGTTTCTAAAGTTTATTCTTTTTCATTTTTAAGAATAATAATAATAATAATAATAATAATAATTCTTGATTGGATCTGATTTGAACTGGTCTGATCTGATTGGATCTAATTTGATCTGATTGGATCTAATCTAATCTGATTTGATCTGATTTGATCTGATCAGATTAGATCCGATCTGGTTTGATCTGATCTGATTTTAATACGAATAAGAAAAAAGAATAAAAAATAAGTTGAACGAAACGGGGCCTAAGTCACGTATATTTGTGATAAGAGTTAATGTCTTTCTTCTAGAGTATAATTGAATAGAAAAATGGTGCAAAATAACGTTTGTATTTTTAAATTTTATTCGATGTTAGCTAGGTTATTCAATCTATAAGTTTGTGGGGGGCGCAACAGATAACACCAAACACAAGCTATGCAAACAAAACAATCAACTATGTTGTAGAGAATATGCTACAGCACTGTCACATTAACAGATGACTGACAGAGTGCTATAACACCTTCTCTGTCACAAGCACACACGTAGAATATAAAGTAAAAACAGCAAGCAAGAAACCAGAATTCTTCACGCAGTTCAGAGCAAATTGTCCTACCTCTGCAAGGCCCACGTCCGTGTAATAGCCCTTCCACTAAATCACCGTAAGAATTACACAATCAATCACAACAGAACCTTCTAATGTATTGATTTGTCTACTTACGAATGACTGAAGAATTATGAATTTCCTTAAACAATAATGTGGGAGTACATGTGTTTATATACACAAGCTATACCTAATCCTAATTATGGTACGAATGGTCCGCTCGGCACGGCCATTTTGTTGGCTTGTGTGGGGACACGAGAAACGAAAAAGAATGCCTAAGGAGTTAAAAACAGAACGGAGGGGAGAGTTGCGATATTCAGTGCCATTGTCACATTGTACATTTTTAATGGTTGTGTTAAAATGATTTTTGACATAGTTAATAAACGTGGTTAGGTGAGTAAAAACATCATATTTTTGTTTTAAGGGAAAAACCCAAAGATAATGTGAGAAATCATCTAATAGTAACATGTAATGTTTGAAACCAGTAATACTGGGGACAGGGGATTGCCATAGATCAGTATGTAATAATTCAAAGGGGAAAGAAGAAATACGACAGGAAGGAGAAAATGGGAGACGAACATGTTTTCCCAACTGACAAGCATGACATAAATTATTATTTGTAAAAAATTTAAAAAGACTAGAGACGCTGGAGACACCACGAAGAACCGCCGGGCTGGGATGTCCAAGACGCCGATGCCATGTGTGGATGTCAACGGACGCACTGTGGACCTGAGCTGGGGGCGCAGGGAGCAAGGGGTAGAGTGGGCCGGAGTTATTGGACCGATGCATCACGGTTCCCGTCCGAAGATCCTTCACAGAAAAACCATGTGCATCAAATTCAATAGAGCAATTATTATCA